GTAGAGTAGTTAATCTTTCAGCAACAGATAGTCCCTGGAACATCATGAAGATGATGTGGAGTGGGAGATCCCTACGAAGAAAAGTGGGAACTACAGAGATGGTGGCAGAAGTGGTGGCATGGAGAGATAGAGCATCTGGGGACTCTAGGCCAAGGGACTGAGTAATGTGTGCCTACAGGCAGTAGGCTTGTTGTTGTTGTTAAGTGCCGTCGAGTCGGTTCCGACCCATAGCGACCCCGTACAGGGTTTCCGAGGGTGTAAATCCTTACGGGAGTAGAAAGCCTCATCTTTCTCCCGCGGAGCAGCTGGTAGTTTCGAACTGCTGACCTTAAGGTTCGCAGCCCAATTCGTAACCACTACGCTACCAGAGCTCCTTACAGGCAGTAGGCTAGCTGGCAGAAAACAAACAAAAAACTTATGAATGTCCTTGGATTGACTTATATATGGAGCAAATGTACAACTTCGATCCTTTAGAATTTCTTCTTCTTTTTAAATAAATGTTTTATTGTAAATTGTGTGATAGTTTACATGGGAGAACATTAGTTTTACATTCATTCTATCATACATCATTTCATTGCCATAGTTACCATCCCATCCATGCGTCATCACCCAACCGAAGGGTGTACCTTGCAAGCCTGCCCCCCCTCCCCGCCACAGTCCTCAGCACACAGCCCCTTTCCCTCTCTGGATCTCAAGTCCCCAGCCGCTCCATCTCTTCACGTCATCTTCTCTGCCTCCATCTCAGGCCTCACTGCTTCTCTGGGTAGGGTCCTGCTCTCTGCTCTTCTCCATTGATGGTCCCAGGGTCCTCCGCTCCTAGACTGAAAAGTTAATCACTCCCCTCCTTGCTATAAAATGTCTACCTTTACATTTCCAATCCTCACAATCAGTCCTGATAACAGTTCTTCACTATTGCATCATAAGAGACCCATCTGCATTTTCATTTCATCAGCCCTTCCTGGACAGGCTGGGTATTATTCACTGGAGACTCTACTTCCTCCACGCCCTTTGGATCTAGGTTCCTTCTTGAAAGCTTGTAAACCAGTCACTTCTTACCTTTGAATCCCTCCCCGCATTTTGGGTAGCCAATGTCCAAGTTGCCCATCCATGTCCATTCTTTGTGTGGAGGGGGTGGGAATAATTCTTGCAGCAGGGATTTGTTTCCTCTTTTGTGCTACTACATTTATGGGTGTAGGTCAGGTTTTGTCAAATTGTATCAGATGACACCTTTTTCCTCTCTTTCTTCTTCCGGTTGAGCTCTGTTCATCCAGTCATTGAAGCCAGGTCAAGTGAGTATCATCTGCAAGTGTGGGTGTTCTTGCGTCTATCCGCTCTGTTCTTATCAGCTGGCCTCTTCGCTCTCCACTCTAGTCCTCTGTGGTTGTGTCAATGACTCTGAGCCCTCAGGTCCTGCCTCGCTGCTGGCCGACCAGGTCTCCACGGGTTCACAGTAGTCTGCTGGACAGTGTAGGGCTTAGCTGGCCACTTCATTGATGTTCATCGGTCCCTTTCCCTTATGGGTGACGTGCGTGGTCACCAATCTGAGCGTGTGTTTCGATTGCGTCTTAGCTTTGGAAGAAGATTTACACTGAGAAGACCCGACCACCTGCCTTGATGTCTCCTGGGCAAGCAACTTGCTCGTTCTTGTGGTATCAGTCGGACTGCCCTTATTGTTTTGTATTTTTCCTGTAGGACTTTCTTGCATGAAGTATCTTCTGGTTTTCTAGCTGCTCCAGGCTGGTCTGCTTGTCCTTTTAAGTGTAAGATTTTCTGTCTCTGAAGGTCTGGATGTGGTTCAGGCTTCTATCTATAGTCTTGTGTAATGCAGAGGCTCCTCAGGAAACCTCCTTCACTGGACACATTGTAGCCCCGTTTTAGGTATTCCAATCAGTTATAGGCAGAAGGCGGACTTAATCAGCTTTCTATGGTGATATTTCTGTCTATTCCTTTCTCTCCCCCTCCAGTGTCAGTTTTATGGTATCATGCATGGGGAAACCAAGGTTCATAGAATTTCTTCTTGAATTTAGCAATAACAAGGCCCTTGAGCCCAAAATAACTTTCGGTAAGCTTGCAAATATAAAATACATTTCAGGAAGACTTAAGATCTTATTTTATAGCTTTTATATCTTACTTACTATTTCAGTCCTCCAGTATTACAATTTTGAAATATCTCAGCATATGATTAACAAAACACTATTCTGATACACCTGAGCCTGACACTGGGAAACACTGTTCTCTAGCATTGTCAGGACACAGATAACTAACTGTATTTTTCATAGTTGACTGTTGTTGTTAAGTGGCGTATAGTCGATTCTGACCCATAGCGACCCTGTATAGGGTTTCCAAGGAGCAGCTGGTGAGCTTGAACCAGTCATAGTTGACTAGGGCAGCATATTTAATACTAAACTTCTGTCCTTTTTGTATTAATGCATGTGTTCTGTTAAAAAAATTAATATTGCTGTACTATTTTGATTTTGCAAGTAATATAGGACAAAAGTTTTAAAAAAAAGACGATTTTAAAATCTCAAATTTTAATTCTCAACATTCAGAGAAAGCTTAAATTAGCATTTTGGAGTAAGTTTTTCCTACTTTTTTCTTGTGTTCATGTTTATATACAGGTACCTACAAAATTGGATGATCCTGTTTTAGTGCTTGGTTGGTAACTAGCTCTTTTCTACTTAAGTTATGTTGTAGATATCTTTAGTTATCAAGAAATACTTTTTTTAGTTACTGCAGGAATGTGTACAATATTGTTTAACAGTATTATGTTGTTTTCTATCTTTCTCCATTATGAACTATGTCAATGAGCATCCTTGTCTATATTTCACCATTATTAACTGTGTCAATGACATCCTGGTCTCTATTTCACCATTATTAACTGTGTCAATGAACAGCTTTGTCTATATGCTACCATTTTTAACTGTTCCAATACCATCCTGGTCTGTGCATTTTTCTTACATGATTATTCTAATTTAAATTTAAGGCTGTAAGTGTAATGGAATTTACATTAAGTTCAGACTAAAATATTGAAACCTTTGCTGTAATTGGGGCACATAACAAAAAATACTCAAGTTTTGATAAAGCTTTGAGGATTAAAATTGAGAAGAAAAAGTTAAAATACACTGATAGCATATATTTAATACTAAGCTTCTCCTTTTGTATTAATGCATGTGTATGTTAAAAATGTTAATATAGCTGTACTATTTTCATTTTGCAAGTAATACAGGACAACAGTTAAAAAAAAAAGATGTAACTTTCTTCAAGTTAAAATGCGAATAGTTGATTATTTTGTTAACTGTTTCTTCCTCAAAAAGAATTTTTATGCCCTCCTTCCCCCTTTCAACTTGGGGAATATTTATAAATAGGGCTGTTGGTCTGATTGTCATACTGTGTGCAGAAGCCAAGATTGGGATGTTGTGCACTTTGAATAGTAAATAAGTACTTAGAAATAAATACAGTTGTAATTAGATAGTGTTTTTAGCTTCAGAAAATGCTTTTATAGCCATTATCTTGCCTGATGTTTAACTCTTCTGCTTTATAACGGAGATTGAGAAACTGTGACTCTTGTCTAAATTGGAATGTGTAGTAAATGGGAGGAATGACATTAAGGTTTTGGGTTCAGAGACTTTCTACTAATCTGTACAGTCTTTTACAGAACTGGGGCAAAAAGATGGTATTTGGCAACTTAGCAGTATGTAACTTTACCATTATTTGTTTTGTGACATTGGAAATAATCACTTAACTTTTTTTTTTTTTTTGCTTTGTAGTCTGTTTTACAATAATATATCCCCTTAGGGTTATAACATTTAAAATGCTTGGAAAGAAAGGACTTTTCTCTTTATTATTGTTGTTGTTAGGTGGCATCGAGTCGGTGCGACTCATAGCGACCCTTATGCACAGCAGAATGAAACACTACCTGATCCAGGGCCAACTTCACTACTGTTGCCACTCTTGAGCCCATTGATGCTGCCACTTGGCCTCTTTTTCTCTGACCCTCCAGCATACCAACCATGATATCCTTCTGTAGTACTTTACTTTATTCAGACATTACTTTGTAACTATATTTCACTTAGTAGAGTGAAAAGAAAGGGAGAATTCAGGAGAGTACAAAAAGTTTGCCAAAATTTATAAACTATAGGATGTTATTTGTATTGGTATAAAGATGTTATCCATTCAACATGAAAATACGATTATGAGTGAACCTAGTCATTTTAGTCATTGAGTCTACATGATACTGGTAATTTGTTTTAGAAAATCTTTTGTTTTTCCTTCCCAGAACACTCTTTTTTTAAAATGTTTTTTAAATGTTTTTAATCAATCCCGGCTAGACAGATTGGAGATTGGATACTATTCAATGGAGATTCTACCTTCCTCCATGCCCTCTGGATCTAGGCTCCCTCTTGACAGCTTGTAAACCAGTCACTTCTTGCCTTTGTAGCCTCCCCCCCTTTTTGGGTAGCCAATGTCCAAGTTGCCCATCCCTGTCTACCCTGTGTATTGAGGTGGTGGGAATGATCCTCGATGTAAAGATTTGTTCCCTCTTTTGAGCAACCATAGGTGTAGGTCAGGTTCATCAAATTGTATCAGATTACTCTTTTTTTCCTCTTCTTTCTACTTCTAGTTGAGCTCTGATCATCCATCATTGAAGTCAGGTCAAGTGGGTATTATCTGCAAGTGTGGGTGTTCTTGTGCATATGCCCTCTCTTATCAGCTGGACGCGTCACTCTCCACTCTAGTCCTCTGTGGCTATGTCAGTGACTCTGGGCCCAGGAGTCCCTAGGTTTTGCCATACTGCTGGCCTTAACAGGTGTCTACCCAGGTTCACAGGAGTCTATTGAACATGGTAGGACTTAGTTCCTAGAACAATCTCGATTGTATATAAATTCAGGGACAGAATAGTAGTCCCTGAGTACTCTTGTCAATTAAATTGTTAGAAACAGGTAACTTTTGAATTAATAATGTGTTTTGGATTTGTTTGTTTTTATTTTTCCTTTTCCTAGTCAGCAGATAAGCAGAGAGCCCTAGAAGAAACCAAAGCCTACACCACCCAGTCCTTAGCAAGTGTTGCCTATCTGATAAACACCTTGGCCAACAATGTTCTACAGATGCTGGATATCCAGGCATCCCAGCTACGAAGGATGGAATCTTCAATCAATCATATTTCACAAGTGAGACCACACTATTTTCCTATTTTAACTATGAAGCCAATCTAGAGTACTGATTGTGAGTTAACTCACATGTATGATTTTAGACCATATAAAATCATTATCTTTTAGTGGGGTGGTTATCTTCTTTGTGATTTTGAAGGAACGTAAATGTTTCTGGATTCCATAAAACTCCAATGTCATGTTAAAATGATCAGCCCTGAGGTGAAAAATTTAACAACTTTTAACAAATTTCACACTTTATTTTTAAAAATATAAATGATAGCTTAATGGCTCGACTTGTTTAAAATTTTTCTTCACTTGGTAGGATTTATGTTTACTGGGATGCTACCATACCTCAGTGATGAAAAGACTATAACTAATGAGAAAACATTATAAAACTATCTTTAATATAGAACTTTAAAAAGTAAATGTTAGTTTAGTTTTTCCATTGTAATAGTCATGCTCATGAAAATAAGAAAAAAAAAAGATAAAATGGAAAAACAAATCTTTTCCCCACTATCTAAGACTTCAACTTTTAATGTTTGGTATATTTATTGACAAAGTAAAAAGAAAAATTTATAAATGGTTTTTTAAATATAGCTGTGAATATATTGTGTATAGAATTTAGGGGTCTGCTTTTTAAACATACCCACCCAAACAAACCTTCACTTGACGTGATAAGGTCCTTATAAACATTTTTGGTGGTTGGTTGCATAAAGTTGCATGTATATTCCAATAGCTTTCATAACCTTTCTTGTGTTTTGGACCCATTTAAAATAGCATTGCAATGAAAAAAAAACTTAATTTTAAAATGCATTGATATAGTAATGGATTTGTTCTTCCTGCCTCTAAGAATTTTTGGAACTCTTCAGTTTTAATATTCTTGTCGTTAGAGTAATTTGGTAGTATTCAGCACTCTTTATAGGCCTGCATAATTAGAACTCTCATGGAATAAAATTCACTTGAGTAATGTATGTATTATTGATTTTGAGACTTTAGGACTCTTTTGAAGTAGAGAAATCCAATCAATTTTGCGAATTTGAAATTTAGAAAATTCTAATATAGTTAAGTAAGCAGATAAGGGTGGTTCACCTTACATTTCTATCACTTAAAAAATCAGAAGGATTACTTGTTACTTAATTGTATTTAATTTCAAATTTGAATTAATCAGTTTAAGGATTTTTTCACATCATGGTGTCATTGTGAGTTAATGTGCTGGACTGCAAAGTCGGTTTAAACCTCAAGGTGGGTGGGTTAAGCTCACCAGCTGCTCCTCAAAACCCTATACAGGGTTGGTGTGAGTTGGAACTGACTTGATGGCAGTTAACAACAACAACAGTAGCACCTGAACTTACAGATATTGTGTAATTTATTGCTTCTATTATTGCTGTGTCTCATAAGTTGAAAAAAAAATTGGTGAGTTTTCATGATAACAGGTTGCTTATCTGATAATAGAAATTCAAGGTTAATTTTTTAAAGTTTGATTTATTTCCAATCTGTAGAGGTGATGTCCCATACCACACTCAATCACATGTAGACATGCATACTTTATCCACCTGGATTTGCCTTACAAACGCCATCCTTAGAGTCACAGGTAGAAAGCCATGATTGGCAGTCCAGTTATGGTTTTTGCTTCCATTGTGAGGGCTTGCCTGTTGCTGTGATTCTGGAAGCTATGCCACTAGTATGTTTAATCCCAGCAGGATCATTCATGGTGTACAAATTTCAACTGAGCTTCCAGACTAAGACAGACTAGGAAGAAAGAGAGAGAGGCTTCTTCTGAATATTTAGTCACTGAAAATCATACGAATTTTAGTATTAGTGGAACACTGTCAGAATGTTGACTATTGAAGTATGATGAAGAGCACTAGAACATTGTCAGATAGAGTGCTGAAAGATGAGTCCCTCAAGTTGAAAGGCACTCAGATACAATTGGGGAAACATTTCCTACTCAAAATAGAGTTGACTGTGATGATACAAGTGGAGTAAAGTATTTGGAACCTTCATTTGCTGATGAAGTTCAACTCAAAATGAGGAGAAACAGTTGCAAACATCCATCAATAATCAGAACATGGAGTGTACGATGTATGCATCTCCAGTTGCAAATTGTCAAAAATAGAATTCAGAAAGATCAATATCCTATTCATTGTTGTTAAGTGCTGTTGAGTTGGTTCCGACCCGTAGCAACCCTATACAAGGTTCCCAAGGCTGTAAATCTTTACGGGAGCAGAAAGCCTCATCTTTCTCCCATGGAACAGTTGCTAGTTTCAAACTGCTGACCTTGCGGTTCGCAGCCTGATTTGTAACCACTACGCTACCAGAGCTCCTTATAGAAGAGTATTAAATGCATTGTTATTGTTAAGTGCCGTCAATTCCGTTCCAATTCAGCAACCCTGTTGTAGAGTTTCTAAAGAGCAGTGAACTGCCAACCATGTGGTTAGCAGTCAAGTTTTTATCCTACAGTGCCACACCAGAGTCCTCTAAATGGAGAATAACTTTTTCAAAAAAATTATTATTGTTTCGAATATACACAGCAGAACATAACACCAATTCAAAAGTTTTTACATGTAAAATTTAAGGATACTGATTATATTCTTCTGGGTGTACAACCATTTTTATCTTCCTTATTCTAATTGTTGCTCCCCAATAATGTGAACTCACTGTCCCCAAGGTTCTAATCTGTTGAGTTGCTCTTATCAATATGATCTCGTATAGATGGTACTTAAAAGAGCATAATGCTCAAGGCAGACCTTCTTACTAAGTAAGCTAAGCTACTGTTTTTATAAGGAGCTCTGGTAGCGAAGTGATTATGAATCAGGCTGCGAACTTCAGGGTTGGCAGTTTGGAACTACCAGCTGTTCTGTGGGAGAAAGATGAGGCTTTCTGCTCCTGTGAGGATTTACAGCCTTAGAAACCCCATACAGGGGCGCTATGAATTGGAACCGACTCCACGGCACATAACAACAACAATGGTTTTAATTTTTTGAGATTCAGCATATTTTTTATTGACAGATCTGGGAGGCAGTGAGAATGCTTCTCCAAAGGCTGCCTTAGCTTCCCCCATAAGGTTGAAGTTTTATATACCCTCCAGGATATTAACCCATTTGTTATTTATTTATTTTAAGCTTTTATTGTGAATTAATGTGATAGTTTACATGGGAGTACATTAGCTTTACATCATCTTACCATATTTCATTTCATTGCAATGATCGCAATCCCCTCCATGCATCATCAAACCCCCCACAAGCCTGCCCCCTGGCCACCAGCACATAGCTCCTCCCCTTCCCTGAGTTCAGAGTCCCCAGCTGCTCCATCTCTCTACGTCTCTGCTTCCATCTGGCATCACTGCTTCTCTGGGTAGGGTCTCACTCTCCACTTCACTCCCTTGATGATGATCCCAGGGACTGCTGCTCCTAAAATATAAAATCAACCACTCCCCTCCTTTTGTTAAGAAATGCCTACCTTTACATTTCCAACCCTCACAAGTCAGTCCTGATAGCATTTATTCACTATTGTACCACAAGGGTCTTACCTCCATCTCGTTTTATCAGCCCCGCCCAGACAGATTGGAAACCACTTAGTGGATATTCTACCTTCCCCTGCACCCTCTGGAACTAGGCTCCCTCTTGAAATCTTGTAAGCCAGTCACTTCTTGCCTTTGTAGCCCCCCCCCCCCAATTTAGAGTACCTAATGTTTAAGTTGCCCATCTTTGTCAACTCTGTGTACTGAGGGAGTGGGAATGATCCTTGCTGTAAAGATTTGTTCCCTCTTTTGAGCTGCTACATCCATCAGTATAGGTCAAGTTAATCAAATTGTATCAGATTACTCTTTTTTATCTTCTTCTAGTCTAGTTCTGATCATCCAGCCATTGAAGCCAGGTCAAGTGGATACTATCTGAAAGTTTGGATGTTCTTGTGCATTTCCCCTCACTTCACATCAGCTGGATGCTTCATTCTCTGCTCTAGTTCTCTGTGGCCATGTCACTGCCTCCGGGCCCAGGAGTCCCCAGGATAACCAGGTCTCAACCCGGGTTCACAGGAGTCTATTGAACATGGTTGGACTTAACCACATGCCTGCTTGTGTATTCCCCTTGAGTCTTAGTCTTGGAAGGGGGTTTCCCTTGAGGGGACTCAACCACTTGCCTTGATGGCTCCTGGGTAAACAACTTCCTTGTTCTTGTAGTCAATTGGACTGCTGTTATTATTTTTGATTTTTCCTGCCAAGAAGTATCTTTTTGTTTTTCTAGCCGCTCCAGGCTGGTCTACTTGTCCTTTCAAGTGGAAATTTCCTACCTCAGAAGATTCTCGATGCTGTTCAGGATTCCACCTATGGTCTTAGGGAAACTAAGTACTCATACTTTGCAATGTTGTCCATGGCTTGTCATGATCCACACAATGGAAAGCCTTTGCGTAGTCAATAAAGGACAGGTAGACATCTTTCTGATATTCTCTGCTTTCAGCCAAGATCCATCGGACGGACATCAGCAATGATATCCCTCGTTCCATGGCCTCTTCTGAATCCAGCTGGAATCTTTGGAAGTTCTCTGTCAATGTATGATTGTAGCCATTTCTGTATTACCTTTAGTAAAACTTTACTCGCATGGAGTACCAAAGATATTATCCGATGATTTCTGCTTTCTGTTGGGTCACCTCTTTTTGGAATGGGCACAAATACGGATTTCTTCCAATCATTTGGCCAGATAGTTGTCTTCCAAATTTTCCTGGCAGAGATGAGTGAATACCTCCAGTGCTGCTTCACTTTCTTGAAAGATTTCTATTTTTATTCCATCAACTCCTGGTGCCTTATTTTTTGTCAATTCCTTCAATGTACCTTGGATTTCTTCCTTCTGTATCGTTAGCTCTTGATCATATGCTACCTCTTGAAATGATTGAATATTAACCATTTCCTTTTGGTATAGTGACTCTGTGTATTCCTTCCATCTTATTTTGATGCTTTCTTCATCATTCAGTAATTTGCCCAGAGAATCCTTCAATAACAAAAGTTGAGGCTTGCATTTTTT